AAACACAAAAACAAAGAAGCAAGGAGAAGGGCTGACAAGATAAAAGCTCCTTTTTATACATTGGTAAAAGAGAGAAAATGTCTTTACACTATTTGTTTCCTAGGGAGGGGACACTTGAAGCAAAAAGAAAGGCATACAAAAAAGGCTCAGAGACTACTCCTCGCCACTATCATCTTCACCCCTATCAGGGGCAATCAAGAGCGACAATCTTCCTTCAACCGCACGAGCCTCCTCCAGATCGTCAGACAGCTCGAAGCCTCTGGCCTCAAGTTCTTTCAGGGTCTCCCTCTTCGTCTCCGCCTTGACGTACTCGATAGCTCGAATTAGTCTCTGTTCAGCTGCCATGGATATGTCGCGAACCATTGTATGCGCCATGGTCGCATCCTCCTTATAAGTGGCATCATCTTGTTTGGCCTCAAACTTAGCCGCGGTCAAAGTAACAATCTCCCTGCGAGAATCCCTGAGAAGATCCCGGGACGTCGTCAATTCCCCGACCACAGTCTCGTTTCGCTCTTTCATCCCAGAGACCTCCGCTTTCAACTAGCTAATCTGCGAGTTACTCTGTTCGACCTACGAAGAAGGGCAAGTCGACGAATACATGAATCCATAACATGAGTGGATATGAGGTAAAAGGACGAGCATGAGCGAGGCAGAGTACCTAAGCAGCAAGAGCAGCCTTCTCTTGGAGTGCCGCCTCTAAAGTAGTCCGAAGTTCTCCCAACTCTCTTCCCCCCTGGGCACAACGAGCCTCCGAGTCCTGCAGCTTGGAAGCAACGTTATTACGCTCCTTCTCGTGGCAAAAAAGTTCCCCTCGGAGCCGAAGAATGGCATGATCATATATCTCCTTACACTGCGGCACAATGAGAAAGTTAAGAAAGACGGCGAATAACGCCCGAAAACGAAAAGGAATATGCAAGGGAAAACTATCACCTGTTGCATAGACTTCTCTGCCGCTTTAACGGCACCGGAAATATCGAGATCGGCCCTGTCGATTATGCCGTCAAAAATGTTGGCAATAAAATCTCTCCCTTTTGGAGGGGTCCCGGCTGTGACGCCTACCATCCTTTCGGCATCCCTCAGCTACCCTGATGAAACCGGAAAGCTCGAAATGAGGTCTTTTGGTTCGCTGATTTCTCCAAATAGCAACCCACGTTCCTGGAAGGCCCCGAGCTCTGGTCCCTCAGGATCAACGCCAACGGTCCTCCTAGCAGAATCTGCATCAGCGTCCTCTTCAAGGACCTTCTGCTTACCAGCCCGGTCGGAGCCAGCCGTACCGGATTCAGCAGCCTCCGATCGGGGGCGCCTGTAAATCTATCGCACTAAACCTTGTTCTCCTCCTCAACAAACTTCCATCATCATCTTCCCCCTCGACATCAGGATTTGATCCGGAAGTTAGAGCAGCAGTCTTATCAGGTTGGGCAACGGCTACCCTGCTCTTCCTTTTCTTGTTCATATCAGGCTCCAAGGCCTCTGCTTCACCGTTAGGGGGCAGCCTCATCTACATATTCTCGCCAAGTCATGCACCAGCACAATAACCGCGATACATTTTCGCTAAGGGCTCGGAAGGAAATACAAAATGCTAAGCACAGACGGAAAAGGAACCTCACCGTGATTCTTGGCCACCCAACGCTCCTTAGCCATGATGGTCCAAGACCGAACGCGGTATGGGAACTTCCAGACGCCTGATCCATCTCGACAACTCTAGGACCACCTCCGAATGCCAAGCAGCGGCTGCGGAAAACACAAAGAGGTTATTACGACGTATGAAAGAGTAATCGAGAAGTGGTTAAAAGGAAATTTGCTAACGTCGAGCGTTCCACTGCTCCGGAAAGGGCATCCTCCGGGCCGGGATGATGTCCTCGATCCTCACTCTGATAAACCTTCTTATCCATCCTCGGTCCTTTCCCTCATCAACGCTCGTGAAAAAAGATTTTTTGGATCGGTGGCGGAGCTCGATTAAGCTTCGATACAGCCGAGGGCGGTACCGTTTGATCAAATGGTTAAGGGTGCAAACTTCACCTTTAACCCCTTCGGTGAAATGCCTAAGCATTAACGCTATCCTCCAAAAGGATGGGTAGATCTGACCGAAGGTCACCTGATATCGGGCGCAGAAGTCAAGAATAACCGGGTCGGTTTCCAAGGGAGGAGATTCGACGGATTTATCTGGGCCCAGGGTGAATAGGTAAGTATATATGTGAAGGAAGCCCGCCTTGAAGTCGGTGATGCTATCGTTGGGGCCGGGAATCTCTACCTCCACTGCCTCGCTCCATCGGCAGTCTGCCCTCACTTTGCTAATATCGGTCACGACGCTAACATATCGAGACACATGCTCACACCGACCCGGCGTAGACGAGGGAATCTCGATGTCGAAATCCTTCGACGTGTCAATATCAGGAGGAGTCCATTATTCTAAAGTGGGAACCGATTTGTTTNAATTTGTTTTCTCCCTCAGCAACCGGTGTATTTATAGGAATCGTTGGGGAAGTAGAAGAGACGAGCCTACGACAGTTCGTAGATTTCTCGATTACCGCATCTGACGGCAGCCCTGCACGGTTCTCTGGGGCATGGCATTAAATTATCTTAGACGGTTGACGTCATGGCAATAATGATCTCGAAACGACGATTCAATATCGTTTCCTATTACTTCATTCTAAGAAACGCGGGGACTATCTGTATGCGGTGAAATCAGGGGGATCTATTTCCCGCCATTAAGGTACATTCGGAAAGTCATATCAGCATCTCGAGGTTGTGGGATTACGATCGAGCTCCCTCTCTCGAGGATCGTCCGCGACCCTGTAGAGACTCTGAGGGTAAGGAATCTGTCCGCGACCCAGCAAAGGTTACGAAGACGGGGGACTCCCGAGGCAAGCGGCTAGAGTCAATAGGCACTAGTATCATGCCTAGCTGTCCCATCCCCGTGTCCTTTCATTCAATATACTGTGTACTATATGGTATTCCCTCTCCTATATAAGGGGGATCCATGCCACTTTGTAAGGGACTGATGTTACTCCATTTTCTCCACAAGTGCAATAATATCTCTCTCTCTCTCTTTTCTTTCTAAGCTTGTTCGTTCTCACTGGTCCGAGGCCACCTCAATATCCATCGCCTTCTTACTTGTTCTTCATCATATACCTTAATAGTGGCCATAAAGAGCCTTGTTTAATTATATCTTCAACTGTTATCTCACCCCCGACTATCCCCGATAGCTCGAGCTCGACCCTGACGTAGACCCCGAGGTCCCTCATCGACCAGACCTATATTCGGGCAGCAGGCTCTTCGGTTCGATTATTATCTCGTTTTAGCTCGTATTTAATCTCTAAACTCTATATTATTAGCATCAACTGCTCTAACAACTAGCTCGGGAATAGATTACGTATTTTTAGAATCTATTTACAAATCTAATTGTTGTTACCATTTTCACGGTAAACAATATATTAATTATTATATATTTAGTATCGATGAATATATATTCCATATATTTTTAACATATATGCAGTATACTATATATATACATATACTTAATTTTTAAACTTTCCTAGTAAGTCTATATAAGTAATATATTTTGCATCTATACAGTATTTTATATACATGTGCTGCTCAACCAGATCAATTGGTATATTAACTATTATTTATTAGAGCACATACAAAAATGGAATAAGTCGATTAAGTTTTTGGTCTGTAGCAGCTTATTGATATTCCGTATGACCCAAATGTTACATTTTTCTTTTACCTTACAAAAAAGTATGATACATTATGTTGCCTTTTTTGTTTTTTTACTTCCAATGGAATAGAATCATAGATCTAATTTTGTTGGAAAAAATTATCCAAGGTAAAGAAGGAATCTGAAAGAACGAAAACATACCAAAATGGAGTGCCAAGGAAGGATGCTTGGTTCATAATCACCGTTTAACGAAATGGAGGAGTTTTAGGGAGAATTAAATATGATCATAGTCAATTTCCTTATTTATCGGGAAGGTACCACACTTGGAAGATATCTTCTTTATTTATGGTTATATCGTAGAATATGTTATTTATTTAATAGTTGTAGGTTATGAAATATTTTATGATTTCATATGTAATTATAAAAATTTCCCCTTTCTCCTCATATAAGAGATTCCTATACAAGTTCAAATCTCACGTGTGATTTATTTTTTTTTTTGGTTTCAAATCTCCTTGTGATATTGAGATCGCAACTCAATGCCGAAATCCATTTCTAATACAAATCTTCTTAATGCAAAAAATTTATTTAAAAAATATAAGCTAAAATAAATTGGGAAAGTATTGTTTCCTTGAAATATCGGTAGAGTGCATTTAATTTCTGACTTCATTACCCATTAATAATTCCCGTCAATCTCTCTTTTTGTATCATCCCTCTTTCAAATTGACCCATAATATAGTTGCGTTGCGCATCAAAATTGGTTATAGCAGCAACCAGAAGAACAACCGAACAGAACCTAAAATCCCCAAACCTCTCCTTCCGCATCAATGGCTGAAATCGGAGAAACTCCACATACCCAATTAGATACCCAGAAAATAAAATATTTCAGCATTTGGCCCCTAACACAGCGCATCCGTGACGCCGTCGTTCAGCGTCTCATCGAGGCTCACTCTTCCCCTTCCATTTTCTCCAAACATTACGGCACTCTCACAAAAGAAGAGGCGTCAGATATCGCCAGGCGCGTCGAGGAAGAGGCCTTTACCTTTGCTGGATCCTCTGCCTCCTCTGACGATGATGAAATCGAGATCGTTCGGGTTCAACTCAACTCATTACTTTCAACTTGAATCATTGTACATATATGCAAAAAGACGCTATGTTCCAATTATGTGATACCATTTACTTCTTAATCATTTTTAACTTTCCATGTCTATTGGCACCTCTTTGTCGAAAAATTACACTATTTAGGTAGGTCCATTTTTTTTATGTATACATTCTATGTATGAAATCCTCTTAGCTTTTTCAATGTATTTACTTCTTTAAATTTTTAACTCCCCTTAGTAAAAATTCTGGCAACGTTACTAAATGAGATGATTTATAGTCACGAAAATATCTATGATTTGCTTTAGACCACAGGTTTGAAAAGCTTTTCTTTTGGCAAAGAGAGTGTAATGTACTACATCTCACATAAACGTGGTATCCTTTGTCCAGACGCACTATATGTATCACGAAATTCACGAAATATCTATAAATATTTAATAATCTATTAATATTGTCTATTTACTTGATATCAAACCTGATTCCCATCTTTGCACCTAAATTGTGATATGTATCTGCTTTAGGTATACTGCAAGGATATTAGCAAGCGTATGTTGGATGCTGTGAAGTCTAGATCCGCTGCTACCACGACCACTGAAGATGACAGTGGACCGTGGGAGCCGCTGTAAGATGCTTCGAAGTCTTCTGCTCGCACGGGGAATTCTCATCCGTTGAAACCAGCCACTGAAAAATGCAATTGAGGTCATTTAGTTTTCGAATAATTGACTCTGCAGTGAGAAAAATTATAGGTTTTAGTTAGTTTAGTTTTACTAAGATCTCATTGTGTTGTTTATGGATTTTGTAGATCGATATATGTTATGTTGGATCAATTGAAACATCTATTTGGGAGCCTTCTGATTCATTGCCTTTCTTCAGTAACATGCATATGTACGAGGGTTCTTGATAGGCAAAATACAAAAGTTACCTCTTAAACTATGAGCGAAATTCCTGGTGCATACTCAACCTTTCAAGACTGTGTCAGATACACACTACTTCTGACCAAATATATTACACGTAAAAGGAGCGTGTGAAGAGGTGAAAAATTTGTGTCTGCAGCTTTATGTCACCGGTTTAGATTTAATAAAGTTGATACTATGGTCCAACTTAATTGTTTTTATATTTCTTTTTTCTTTTGTTTTCCCCTCCAATCCCATGACCAACGAACCCCTCATGTTCTCTTCCATCTAACTCCATCGTTTCATTTCACTGAATTACTCCAACAAGAAAAAATCCAGTAATCCTACACTATTAGAAGTCCAAGGAAGTTCTATTAATTTC